GGTGCCTCGGGTTCGCACTCCACCCTACAACGGTCTCTCTCAGGCCCAGCACACTGTGTTCCAAGCTGCCAGTCATACAACGCCGCGAGCAGTTTTCAGCCATCAAAAGAGAGGAGTTGGAACATGGGCGGAGATTGCAGACGCCGAGTTCTTACTAGAGGACGACCGAAGCACTTCTAGTGCGACGAGAGCCAGTCCTCGCCGAAGATCGTCTCAGCAGACGGACTTGGCGACAGAGCCTGTTTCCAGCGGAAAGCTTCGTCACGACGCAAATGGATCATCTGATCAGTCGCAAAAAGGCAGGGGACGACCAACCAGGAAGCACCGACCTCAGAGACACCACCCGATGTACGATGAAAATATCCAGAGACTGAACGAGTCAGAAGTCAAAGAATTTCTTGATTGGAAGAACAAGGTGCGGCATGGACTGCTGAAAAGGGTTCAAAGGGCAGGTTGGAAGCCCTCGGAGGATCGAATGATTCGCAAACTCAAATGGTTACTGGAGCACGATACGGTCGAGTCCATGTCAGCAGCATGGGAGTCGCTAGATCTCGATCGACGAAAGCGCATCTGGCCCAACATAATGGGTTCGGCATTGGTATCTTGTCCAGAAAAGGCCAAGATGGTCCTGGAGTCTACGATGAAACCGCTCCCGCCCGGTTACGCCGTCCAGGATACGCTGAACTTCCTTGCCATCTGGCAGCATTCGCTACCCTCAGACGAAGCTGTAGCCCATTCCGAAGCTCTCGCCGATACCGTCATGCGTTTCCTCCGACTGTACCGGCACCGTGATGATGCCCGTCTCAGTCTGCGACAGAACACTTTCTTCCACATGATGACTCGACTAGGGGTCAACAAGCTGGAAGAGCTCTACAGCTGCTTGGTCGATCATTCTGCGCCTCTCCATCCGAACACCCTGTTGCACTTTGCAGATCGGTTTGCGAAAGACGCGAAGCGTAAAGAACTGGCACTCCAAATCACCATCGCCGCCGTAGCAGCTGGTGGTGCCAATCTCGGCTCGCCCCAGTGGCTAAGTCTCTGTACTTCAATTCTTTCTCCTGCACCCGGCGAAGGAGACGATTCACGAATAGCCTCTGCAGTAGACGCTTTTGAGGAGCTGCTGCAGCACGGCCTCACCCCGAACCTCATCAACTACACTGCGCTTGTGCGTGCACTGTGTCTACAGGGTAACCTTGAGACGGCGTGGGATGTCGTTGGCATCATTCAGCGCCACAACATCGACCCTGATGTTGTGCTGCTCTCGACGCTCATTGAAGGAGCGAAGCGGCATTTGGGGGCATTCGAGCACATTGACCGCGTCACCGAGCTCGCTGTCAAGCACAAGGCTTTTGATGCGCCGTTCTGGAACGGGATTTTCTGGACCATTTTTGGTTCAGCAGAGGCAACCGCCGCGCGCATTACGCCGATCCCACACATTGTGCCAGCCTTCAAACCGATGCTGTACTTTTACTCCAAGATCTTCCACATCGAGCCCCTCCAGCACCTTATTCCTGTCAATCTGGCCGACCTAGCTGAGTCCTGTCGCCCGGAAATGTCCGAGCAGTGGCAGATGACCAGTCGCATATTCGCAGGCCTCGATGCCGTCGCAGCAGAAGTGACTGAAAAGCTTCATCCGACAGGTGCAACTCTCGGTATCATGTACATGGCCTACGTGCGCAGCTTGTCGCAGGCCTCCAGCGTGTTGTCTGCGTACTCGTTCATCCGCCAGGTCGTCCGAAAGGGGGATCCTGTTGTCATGAGGTTCATCGAGGACAAGAAGACATTCTTGTACGACGTCATCATCAAGACTCTGAGCGCGCATCCGGGCATGCTGCGGGCCGCGCTCGATATTGTCGGCGACATGCTCAAAGCAAACTTCGACGACAAGGCGCAGCCGACGGTCCACACAGACGATGTCGCAGGGCACGGCCTCAGGAGGAAGAAGGGCGGTCATCCCATCCCCAGCGAGTACACGTGGAACATTTCTCCCTGCGGGGTTTCATCGTGCAGAAGGAAGACGCATCGAGCGAGCGCATCTTGCAAATGATGAAACAGCACGCGTCAAACCGAAACCTCGTCACCTGGAACACGATGCTCAGCGGCTACGCGCGTCTGCAAACGTCAGCAAGGCCATCATGACCTGCAAAGAATGAGGCCGACGTCCACGAGATGAACGAGTACACGATGCGGGCGTTTGCGAAACTCGCCCGGAAAGACGGCGCTCTGCAGAAGATTGAGGAGGCCATTGGCCGCAACCAGAAGCGGCGGGACGAATTTCCGCCTCGCGTCAACGAGGTGGCGGATCTGGAGGACTTTTGACGCCTCCAGCATCGGTGGCACCCTCGGGGCTCATGAGGGAACTAGCTCTTCTCAGATAATGTACCACGATTCCACTCATGCTTGCGTACAGATGGTCGTGAAACCTGAAGCCCGCCACGCTCTGCTTGGGCAGCCCCTTACTGATCGCTTTTCCGTGTAAAAGCCTAACCACATGCGCGCATCCCGCCTCGGCCTGGCCTCGCAGTTTGAAGCACCATCTCAAAAAGAAATGTACTGGACAGCCCAACGGCATGGGCCGTCCGACGCGCGCACTCACCTCAGCAAAGAGGCCGCCGCCTGGGAAACACAAGGCCCATCCGCGACCTCGGCCAAGGACCGCGCGCCTGCACCACCATGTAACCCGTAGAAGGCCCGCGACGGGAAGCCAGCCCTGGCCATCGACCGTCCTGGCCGCCTCGTGTTCCCGGCCGACCACGCAGAGCAGAGGACTTGGCCGGCGGGAAGTGGCGAACTGGCCCCCTCCCTTGCTGCACATTCGCCAACCACCGGTTGTCTTGTGCGCGAGGGCAACGGGGCTTCGGCCAGCGCCAGTTGGAGTGCCTGCTCAGCTTTCTTCCTCGCCACTCCACAGCGGCGGGACCCATGACGCCCCAAGGAGTCGGCCATCACAAGGGTTCATTCATACAGTGTTACTCTCGGAGCAGCAGAGCCATCAGCAAGAAAGAGGGGCACAGTCAGCAGGACCACATGAGCCAGCTTCAGAACACATATACATTTGATTCTGTACGCAGAGCCAACCGACAGGCTGCCAGAGCCGGCGGGACTACACCGTGTAAAATGCCACAATATCCTCCCTTCGACCCGATTGCTCACCGGTACCGCAGCGCACAGCGTTTATATCCAGGCCAACTACACAACCCCCAACTTGCTGCAGTTGTGTCTCTCGTGCCCTCCAAAGACGCTGGCGAAATCGCTCCAAAACTAAAACAAAAACAATGCTTTTTTCTTGATCGTACAAAATCATGCAGTACAAGCTGGGTATCATGGCCAAATCAGGTGTAAGGAGAAAGCAGAAATGGAACCCTTGGCACATCTATGCAGTGCTCTCGGGATGGCATTGCATTATGATGAAATGCCACGAAGAACGCGAGCCGGATTGCCTACGACTATGGTGAAAGGGGGAACATCCTGAAAGAGACAAGTCAGCATGGACTGCTATGAGAGGTGTGTCTTGTCGATATCGCTATCTTACCTTGGTGACAATAGACCCCGCGCCGACGGTGCTTCCTTTGCCAATCGTCCTGCCAGGAAGAATAATAGCACCGCCACCAATCCAGCAGTCTTGCTCGATGGTAATG